CACCCTGGCCCCCAAGTCACCGCGCAGTTTCTCGCTCGTTCAGAGTGACAGACAGACTCCTGCCAAGCTCCAGCCTCTCTCCGCTGCCACACAAGTTCGTCCACGTACTGATGGCTGCTGGAGCAGGTCCGTGCGCTCTCAGCCTCTGCTCCTGGGCAACCCGGCCTGGGTGGCTGGATTTGCTCAGCCAGGAACAGATGAAATGCTGGCTGTCACCTGTGAAGGGGGAGTCGTAGCCCCTCTCTCCTGACTGCGCCATGCATCACTCTGAGAAACGGTGCTTGTTTCCATCTGTGGCATACTGGAACAGACGAGCACACAAAACCTCTGGTGACAGTTGCTGTGAGCCCCTCATTGCAAGTGGGATCACAGGGTCCCAGGCATGTGCACGCCACTTTTTTTTCTTCACGCATCTCTAGCTCTACTCCTTCCAGCACCAGGTACTGAGAGCTGCACGGTCTGTGCCATCCTCATCTGACCTTTCTTCTCCTTCTCTCATGACTGCTTTTCCATGTGCCACTACACCTCATCTCCTTCCTGGAGAGGAACCAGGGCACCTTTGTTTTAACAGTACCTTGCAATAGTATCTTCCATTACATGGGCTCATCCTGCGGCTGCAACTTTCAGTTAAATTCATCCTCTGCCGGTTAGCTCTGCCAAACCACCATTCACCCACTCCGTTTCCTGAGCTGGGTCAGTGACACCATCCTGTCTCCTGGCCCCATACCCAGGCACAGCAACACTCTCAACACCAGAAATTTGGTAGCCACCTCTGTGAAATGAGCTACGCAGCATCCCAGCTGTGGCCGTGGAGCAGCCCCAGCTCCCACTGCCACCAGTCCAGGCTGAGCTGCTTCTTCAGAATAACCCACTCATCATTCCACAGGGCTGAAGTCACCACTTTGGGTGGAGGTGCCCTGAGAGGCAGCTGGGCTGGTGCAGAATAGAAATATAAATAACTACACACAGAGGTGGTACCGCAGCTGGCAGCGATGGGGAAGGGCTGCGCGGCCGGTGGAAGCAGCTGGGCTGAGGCAGCGTCTCAGCCATCTCCCCTTGTATGTCCTGAGAAACCCGGACGATAACTGCGCTGTCAGAAACCACCGCTGCCGCCTGCCACGCTGCCCAAACTGACCGCTGCTGCACTGCCTCCTGGCACATGCTCTCTCCCGTTTGGATAGCAAATACTCCAAAGGGGGGACGAATATTTTCAAGTCACCTGGCACAGGTTTTATGCTACATAATTGCCCAAGTTAGGCACAGTACTAATGCTAATTAAACACAAGAAAGAAAAGAAAGAAATGAGGGCTCAGTGCTGGACAGGCTAAAGGATAATATCTCTTGGTTTACTACCAGTGCACTGCTATAATTTTAAATGCATGTCATTTACGAGGCAGATAAAGTAGAGCACTCTGAGGGGGACACTGTTAAAATGCTTCACTGTATCTTTTTTTTTCTTTTGCATTATGCTTATTATTTTACTCTCTTTTTCTCCACCAAAATAATACTGGAGAAGGGAGAACAGGATCAATGTGACTTAACATCTGTGAACATCAGAGGGAAAAAAAGAAAAAGTGAGTCTTCAGGAAGATTTGGATGGAGGATGTGGTTGGACTTGCATTTCTGGGAATGACACCATACCATGTAACTTATTCCGAGGCCCCTTCCAAAACGTACATGCAATATTTTGCACTTCCACCTTAGGACCCCAAAGTGCTTTGTAAATATCAATTCATTTATTGCTGTAATGCACAAGACAGTAGGTCTTGAAAAAATCTGTTGATTAGTGATAGTAGGAAGCTTTCCTCACGGAGAAGTAAATATATAAAACATTCCAGACCTTATGATTGGAAAGATGATCTGCTGAATATAAAATAATGCAGCATTGTATTCCTGGGGCTGCAGACAGACAGCTGTAGTGCCTCTGTGGCTGCTGCTGAGAGGTTGCCAAACACCAGCGAGATTAACAAAACTGCTCAGTTTTCTTGCTGCTATTCAGCGTCTCGTGTGTGGTAGAGTGACACTATCAAAATCATGTCCACTTCCTG